AGCAAGGACGCGCCTAGGGGCTCCTGGCCATACTACTAGGAGCATCCATACTACTAGGAGCAAGGACGCGCCTAGGGGCTCCTGGCCATACTACTAGGAGCATCCTTACTACTAGGAGCAAGGACCCGCCTAGGGGCTCCTGGCCATACTACTAGGAGCATCCATACTACTAGGAGCAAGGACGCGCCTAGGGGCTCCTGGCCATACTACTAGGAGCATCCTTACTACTAGGAGCAAGGACCCGCCTAGGGGCTCCTGGCCATACTACCAGGAGCATCCTTACTACTAGGAGCAAGGACGCGCCTCTCCTGGCCATACTACTAGGAGCAAGGACCCGCCTAGGGGCTCCTGGCCATACTACTAGGAGCATCCTTACTACTAGGAGCAAGGACCCGCCTAGGGGCTCCTGGCCACACTACCAGGAGCATCCTTACTACTAGGAGCAAGGACGCGTGTAGGGGCTCCTGGCCATACTACTCCCAGAACTTGCGCGACGTGTCTGGCGCTTCCCGCACCCCTTCACCATATTGGTGGGTGGTGGGGAGTGTGGTGAAATGTCGAAATGGATGACAGGCTACCAATTAAACAAACTGTACAAAAAGTTCCGACCAACTAACTAGGTGAAACCGAATATCCGCGCTGCATCTAGAGTGGTTTGGGAACGAGAATTACGAATTACGATGACAATGCTGGAAAGGCCGGGAAACTGCCTAATCAGGCGCCGGAGGAATCGGCACGGATGTTAGATCGCCATTACGATGCCAACACTGTCGGAGGTATCTGCGATAGAGGAAGCGTTGCTCAAATGTCAATGAGATGGCCTCGACTGCCGGAAAAATCGGTTGCACATGAGACATGGGGACTAACCCATCAGGATGGTATGGAGGTTTGCAATGAAGATCTGCCGCATACCGAATAAGAGACCGTTGGACGGCTGCGGAATTAGGAATTTCCGGCCGAAGTGGGAAACCCCCTGTGTAAGCACGACCCCATCCGATATAAGTGAGGCTGAGCGAACCAGTCTTTGAGTAGGTCGGAAGGAGGGGGCCATCCGCATATTTTTGGAGGTACAAGACAATGGTTCGAAAGGCCTCTGCTTGTTCCCTGAGAGATCGACGGTGGATGGGCAAGGCTAGGACTCTCGGGTCTTGCCAGTGCAGTGGCTGTGCCTTTTTATTGTCCTGGATTTGAAGCCATGTAGGGAATTGGAGTCCTGTATTAATAATAAAAGCAATGGCAAGTTCGTGCCATGTGATACCCGCTTTCACAGTAGGGTCAGTATGAGACAGGTCGGCAGATGGCCAGCGAAGCGAGGCGCAAAATTGCAAAACGAGATCGGCATACTGGTTACCCCAGACACATGCGGTCACAAACGTTGGATGCACAAAGGGACGAAACGTCTGTCCAGGCATCGCGACAGTATAAGATTCCCGGGTGCGAAAAATCAGTCCCCAGGCACTGTCCACAGTGTCCCCTGTGCCTGCAAGGTTCTTTGGTTTGTTTGTTTGTTCATGAAGTTGCGAATGGTATTGATTCAGGTCGGCAAGATACTGCGTGATACAGACCGTCTGATTGTATTGATCGCTGTGCCATATCTGTGCTCGGCGAAAGAACTGGTGAATAGTCGGATGATCCGTTTGACGAGCACGAACGGCTGCATGATCTGCCCACGAATTACCAATCGCATCGAGCTTAGCCCTCCCGGAGGTAGCATGTTTATGTCTTGATGCGACTTCACTTTGCACAAGTGGAATTGGGTGGGGTCCCAATGGGTGGTGATACGCTGAAGGAGGTCAGCGTGGGCTAATCTGTGCCAGGTAGGGACCGTGGTTGCATGAACTAGTTGTGACACAATGTTAATAACATACTGGGAGTCGGTGGTTATGATTGCCCGTTGCTGTGGGTGGTGCGATGCAACATGTTCAACGATCCAGGCCACGGCTGCGAGCTCTGCACGGGCGATTGATTGACTTCCCTGCACATGCTGAATTTTAACCGTCAGAAACGGTTGTGGGGCGGCGTCAGGATGATATTGAACAACTGACCACGCTGCTCGTCGAGTTTCGGGATGTAGGGGTGTATCAGCAGACCCATCTGTATAGAAGAGTAATACCTCCTGGTCATTCTGAATTACTGTGTGGTCAGTGGTCGCTCCCCGATATGCTAGTAACTGTCGCAACGTAGCAATTTCAGGGAAGGAATGCGGCAAGGGAAGCCATAATTTGGCGGGGCAGGCAGACAGATACGCAATGGCTTGTGGGTGTTTTTGACGGATATGCAGGAATGCCGGGCATGATAGCTGTTGATGTGAATGCATATCGGGCTGTCCGCAAAACGGACAGGAGGCGTCGACTGTGGCCGTCCACATAGCCTTCACTGCCCCGACTTGGTAGCCTCCAGTGAGATTATAGGCTATTTGGCGCACGGCCGTAATTGACAACTTACGAAGGCTGCGGGTAAGAATATCATAGTCAAACGGCATATCAGGAATTCCTTTGCGGTGGCTAATCTGTCGGTGAAGGTAGTAAGCCCAGGCCCGTCTGAGAGTCTGACGAATGGTGCGGAGGGAGTCATGTCTGATCGAAATCGAAAGGTAGCCGTCTAATGTCAATTTACCATCCTGCGCGAAGGACCACCCTAACAGATCAAGATAACGTGCCAATGCCTGCAGGCCCCACTGTCGGGCCGGTGTGGGTAATCACTGCTTGTAAAAATTCCTGGGCTAACGTGGAGTTGTTGTGGAAAAGCCGCCGGAGGAATGTTACTGCTGTTGAAACAACATAAAGTAACGGGTCTTGCAATTGTGGGGAGAAAATATGGACAGCGAGGAAACTGGAAATTTGCGGATGTGGTCCTAGTAAGGCACTAGCAGCCTCCCGGCGGAGTGTGCGAAAATGCGACTCCCCCACAATCTGTGTTTCTGCCCCGAAGAATGCATGAGGCCATACCGCAGTCTGGATGAAGCGTGCTTTGTGGGCAATGGCAAGAGGAAATCGTCTGATTTTCCGGCATCTTTGAGCGGCGTTTTGCATCTTTTGTTTTAAGTGACCGAGAACGATATGATTAGAATAGTGTGTCATGCAACCCAAGTCTTTGGTCGAGTTCAGAATTTGGACAGGGTTAGCGTCCGGGAAGGACAGGTCTAAAAAGTCTTTCCATTCCTTACGGGCGTCGGCGGTAGAGCCCCAGGCCCAGGATTTAGTGTAATCAATTTGCATGCGAAAAGCGTCCACGAGTTGTTGGACCCTACGGAAGGCCTGGATGTTGTCTCGTTGATTGGTAGTCAGGTAGGACCAATTATCAGCATAGGCATAGGGGAAGACGGTAGGTGTTTGGAGCGTCCAGTAGAAAGCCGAGGAGACTACAAGCATCGCACAAACAGACAGACTGTCTCCTTCCGGAACCCCGGTAGTCATGGTCATGGGTGGGCCGACATTATCGCGAACTTGCAGTCGCCGTGTGAGGCGTCGTAGGTTGTTAAACCAAAATTGGATGGCTGCAGGGGGTGCTCCATGATGTATCAAAAGGTGATACAGAACACGGCGAGGGAGGAGATTAAATGCTTTAATGAGGTCTAAAGTGAAGCCACGCCATGGTTGGGACCGCTGTTTCCCTTTTTCGATCTGAAACTGTTGGAGAAAAGTTATGTCCTGAACGCCTCGGAAGGGCAGTCCCCCCGATATGGCACTCGGCCAATGTTGGGCCCACTGACTCAACAGCTGGTCTGCGACAATTTTTGAAGTGAGGCGACTGATATAACCCATAATGGTGATGGGTCGACCGTCAGTGATGGACAAGGCCGGGGTCCTTTTAGCTAGAAGAATGACGCGGGCAATTAATTGATGCGTGGTCAAACCCGAGGACCAGATTCTAGCTAAGATGGAAGCGAAATCTGCCACCGCAGCCCGAGGAAGGGCTTGCAACTCTTCAGCTCTCCACCCGTC